CACAAGTTCAAGATTATTTTAACTTCACTGGCATAATTGTTAATATCTCTGTTGTCCCCTAGGATATGTAGGATTACATCAATTAAATTGGTTTCTGCAACTGAACACATTAACCATAACTGTGACAACTAGTGTCTTCCCCAGCACTCTTTAGGTGTTTAATTTGCTTGCCTGTAATAGATTGTCAGAGCAGTAAACATGAGGCAAGTAATGTGAGTGGTATAATGATGGTAATTATCTGAATGGATCGATTGTAGTGTTATTGCAACATGATATTGTGGGTAGGAGGGAGATGGAGACATCCCATATAAATCCCCATTTTCAGCTTTATTTCCTTAACACATTTTTTTCTAAGACATTTAAAGTGAAAACAACATAAACTGGCATTGCCATTCTCTCCTTTATCTCTTCCCATTATCCTTTGTGCCGTTGCCTTCCTGAAACCAGGAGACCCCACACGAGCTCAATTTCTCTAAAGAAAGCAGTGACTTTTTAGAAATGGAATTCCAGCAGTTCCCCCGTGATTCATGGTATCCAAATATTTGAACTGGAAGTCACTTTGTAGATTGGCTAGGCTGCTCCCTTCATTTATTGCTGAAGGAACTGTGAACCCAGCAAGGTTAAATGACTCACTAAAGGTTTCACACCCCGGTATTGCCAGGTAGCCTGCAACGATGGGGCTAGAACCTGGAGGCAGTCCTCCCACCTGGGCTGAGGGAGGACCTGGGAGGTTACACCAGCAGCAGGTATGAAAGAGGTTTGGTGTGACAGGCCACAGCTGTCCCTGAAGGAAACAGCAACAAGCAATAAGGAAACAGCTTTCAGTTGAGTGTCAGGGATGAGGGGCGGGGGGTGGGAGGTGGGAAGGAAGAGAACAAACAGCCTAGGGATAACCAATATTGAATAAGTCCAAACAGAAGATCAGCATGGGGATAGAATCGCTGGGTTGTGTGGGAGATGTCTGCCCATGACAAGAAAGGAAAGCACATGACAGGATCCTGCCTGAGGGACAGGAGTGTTCAGGTGGTTGCTAAAACAGGGACCAGGTCCAGAGGAAAGAAGTCAAAGCCAAGTATTAGAACTGATACCTGAAGAAGAAACAGGGGTTTGAATCCTGGGACGTGAACCAGGAATAAATAGGTCAAGATGATCTAACAGTGGCAAGAGCACTTCCAAAAAGGCTTCTGCTAGCAGTTTCCCTCAAATTTGTGCCCCGTTTTCATTTGATCACTTCACCTGAGTTTCATTGTTGGTGAAAATAACAAACTGGCCTCAACAGGGAGCTTTTTAGACACCTGTCAAAGAAAACATTGCAGTCATCAGAGGCACAAATAATTCCACATATAACCCATGCCTTCTGTGTTACCAGAAAATGGAACATTAGAACTTTAAATCACTGTTCAGGAGACAAACACGAAATACCCACAGAACTGAGGCTACAAGCCTGTGTGTCCCAGGGGAGGGAGGTGGCAGAGTGTGGGGGCACGGCACTCCTAGTACTGACCACAGATGGAGACTGGATGTGCCCAGTACTGACTGTAGGGCAGGGCTTGAAAGTGTAAGGGGACCTGAGGTGACAGTCTCAGAGAAGCACGGTTTCTGGGGAGAAGGATGCAAAGAGAGAAGAGGTGCCGTTGGAAGATCTGGTTCTGCAGAGAAAAAGGAAGAGGGAAAATTTTAAGATGCTGAAGAAATAAAAGAGAAATATAAGACCAACCTCCTCCAGTCATCATGTGGTAAAGAAGCTAAAACAAGGGTAGAAACAGGGTTGATGAACAGTGAAACATGCTGATAAAGCAAAAAAGAAAAGCCAGCCTCGTCTTTTGCAGAGTAATATCGGCCATCTGTACAAACTCCTTCAACGGTATTATACTAAAGACTATCCTCATTGACAACTCTCTGAACGCTGAAGTCTTATTAAAATGAAACTTCTTTAAAAAAACAAAAAAACAAAAAAGAATGCAACAAGAGGACTGGTAGGAAGAAGGACTGAGGGGAAAGGTGATTGTGGCATATGTTATTGGAGGGAGCCGAGGGACGTGATTTTAACTAGATAGTAATGATAAAGTAAGACCCAAAAGGGAATAATAAGCACTATTAAAGAACCTGCAAGAGGTGGAGGGGACTGGAGGAGGGGTAGGAGAGGAAGTGACACCTCACTGAGTGTACCTTTTAGTATAGTTTTGACTTTGGGGACCATATTAATGTTTTCTGTATTCTGAAACTGAGGTGAAATGCACAAGAAGAGGAGAAATTAAATCTGACTACTATCAGAAACAAATGAACTGAACTGCACAAAGGAATAAATAGCATAACTACAGGAAAGGGTGACAGTTACTAATGTAGTAACTTGAACATCGCATCATTACTGTATACCCACATTCTAAAGAAAAATCAAATTGTGAACTCTTCTTACTACTATTTTCCATACAGTAACAATTTTGCATGCACTGTGGGATTGAATAAATGAGTAAATGTATGGCTGCCTGTGTTCTCACTGTAGAAAAGGCAGACACAAATATTAAAAGGGGAAGACAAGAATTCTGTAGGGGTTGGAGAGAGTTTGTGTGTGTGTGTGTGTGTGTGTGTGTGTGTGTGTGTGTGTGTAGTAAGAGGAGAAAGAGACTCTTTCACTGAAAGGGACCAGCAGAAATGACCTCTCAGTAGCAATGGCATTCATTAATAACCAGATCTTAATTTCCCAAATTATGGGAATATATACCATTCCCCAACGAAAAGCAAGCAGGATTCCTTGGAGAAATGACGTATTTCAGGGAATGGCACAAAGAAAAAGCAAAGTGGGCTTTGGAACATTTCCCTGTGCCTAAAAAGAAAGTCTCTTCAAAATGATGAAAACATGTCAAAGGACACAGGTTACAGAGGTTCACCTTTTCAAAGGTGGGATAACTTGAGCATCAAAATAAATAAAATAGGGACTTAGAACCCTTTCAATAATATAAGAATCCATGTGTTCATACTGATAAATAATAAATAGGAAAAGCATTTTCTTATGATAGAATGTAAATTCATAAATGTAGGTGGAATAATAGAGTGAGAAATCACCATGTGCAACCATAGGAATCATTGATTCAGGGAAGATTCATCAATGGTTGCTAAGATAAACTGGTGAAAGTTTGATGAGAAATATTATATTTTCGTAGTCTAAAAACATCTCTGCACAATTTATTAACTACAAAAGGAAAGTAGCTTTGGAGTGGAGAGATTTAGCAGACCCACCTTAACCAGGTGATCAAAGCTAACATGTCCAATAATGGATACATGGACATGACATAATTCTCATAGGATGCACTGAGAAGAACTCAGCATCAGTCATGTGCTACTCCTGCCAAGTGTGCAGGAGGAAGCTTGAAACAAACCCTAATTAAGGGACGCTCCACAAAATAACTGGCCTTTACTCTTCCAAGAAAGAAAAAGAAGGAAGGGAAGGGGGAGGGGAGGAAGGAAGGAAGGGGGCAAGGAGGGAAGAAGGAAGGAAGGAAACAAAGAAAAGAAAAATTAGTAGCATGAAAGACAAAGGACCATTCCAGAATGTTCCAGCATCCTATATGAATGACAAATAGATACAATAGGTGCTTGAGGCTGGACAGGTTTCAGGACTGGAAAAAATTGCTATAATGACACTACTGGAACAATGGATGAATTGGAATAGGTACTGAAGATCAGACTGTGGTATTGTATCAATTAATATTTCCTGAACTTGACGATACTGTGGTTGTGTAGAAGAATGTCTTTGTTACTAGGAAATATACACAGAAGTATTTAGGGATAAAGGGCATCATGTCTGCAACTCCCTTTCAAGTTGCAGGGAAACACGATGAAAGAAAAAGAGAATGATCTAATGATCTCTCAAATGTGGCAAAATGTTAACAGTTGGTGAATCTGAGGAAAGGGGATGTGGGAGTTCTTTATACTAGTCTTTCAAATCATCTGTAAGTTTGCAATTATTTCCACACAGAAAGTTAAAAAAAAAAAAAAACCCTGATAGGAAGACACTACAAAGGAAAAAAGTTTGATCTTTGCACCACCTAAAAATCATACCATTCTTTTGAATAAAACTGGCTTGGAGCTACATATCCCCATTTCCAAATGTCAAGGAGGATTATAGTTAAAGGGTGGGTAGAGCAGAGGTTGCCTGACAGGGAGGGGCATGCTCACTGCAGCAGCCTTGGGAAGGGTTAACTTTAACTTGCACAGCTCAGGACTCCTACGAGGCCAGTAGGAGCTGAAAAGGACTCAGGTCAGCCGCTGCAGAGGGCAGATCCCATGTCACCATTTCGTGCTCCTTCTAAAACCTAATATGCTAATACCTGTGTCTTTTTCCCCTTATTGTTCCACTAGTAACCAGGTAACCATATTCGACCTAGTCTCCTCTAGAAACCTGTTTACCATTCAGATAGCCACTGGCTCTGAGGAGCAGGAAAGCAATAGTTTTTTAAAAAGGGAAGGGGGGGGGGACTCAAGTATAGCTCAATTCTTAAATTTCTCATTATATTCTTATGCTTAATAGCCATTGATTAACAAGGAAAACAACATGTTTGGTTTGCATTCAGAACTATGCTCTCATGAATTGACCTGAGATTCTTTTCTATGGCCTAAACAAATAGTGGGTTGTGAAACTGTAACAGGTCTTAATGAAGTGGATTGAGGCATTGCTTACATTTACATTTTCATAGAATGAAATAAACGTGGTAATCTTTTTACAGAACACTCTCACATCAGGCCATGATTTGATTTGCTACCTGTTCAGAATATCAAGTTTTGCATTTCTCTAAATGGTAATGTACTTTTGTGAACAAGTTAATAAAACAGAAGTCATCCATGAGATATTTTTGAAAGTACTTAGAGCAAACTTGTCTAAGATTCTTCTAAAAGATTGTTTTGGATCCTGAGGAGATATATTTAGTAACTGTATTGAATAAGTTGTCACCTAACACAACATTTCATGGATTTATTTGTATTATTTTTGTATGTCCCTGCAGGCAGAGAATTCAGCATTGGCTTTGGAAAATGAAAATCAAAGGGAACAGTATGAGCGATGTCTTGACGAGGTAAGCGGACTTAGAAAGGTGCTTTGCACAAGGCTGGACTATTGAGGAATCCCTTGCTCAGATCTTAATATATGTCTGTTAGCAGCCTCCGCAGAACATTAGCATTTTGTCCTCCAAAGGGAGGTTGCAAACATGTATGTGGACATTGAGAACGAAGGTCAGTCTCCCTCCCCCTCCCCCTCCCTCTCCCTCTCTCCTTCTCTCCCTATTTTAAGTGTACAGGCACCTGTAAATTCCTTTTGGCTATGATTTAATATTCTTGGAGCACAGTTGGGGAATGCGTCACTGTATGATAAATTCCTTCTGTCCAGTAAGTGTGATCCCCAGCCTGTGAATGAGAAAAGCCATGTCAAGGCACACTGCATCTCCAGTTGGATGCTGTTTCTGAAAAAGCAAATCCTTGATAGAGTGGGTGGGGATGATGTTCACAGTTGGCGGCCAGAGGAAAAAAAATCAGTAGACTGAGAACAAGCCAAGAAGAGAAAGGAAGTGAGGAAGAAAATTTGAGCAGAATGGAAAAAGAGCCACACGTGTGAGTAAACTTGAGAAATATTATTTGATGATAATGAAGAGACGAAGGCGAAGATGGTGGGCATTTCTGAGTTCCTGGGAGGCGAGGGGAGAACTGAAGTGTGTGGAGGGCCCTCCTTCTCCTCAGCCATTCCCCTCACACTCTGTCCAGATTCCTACCATCAGTATCTGCAGTAACACCCAGGCAGGATGGGCCATTCACCTCACTGACAAGCCTCTCATTTGGGATTTTGTTGGTGACTGGAGTTACTACTTTAATGGGATGACTTTTTTAGTCATCTGCCCGAAACCCTAAAACTCGCACACATCTATCTAGTCATCTTAGAAGTTGTTTTGAAATAGCTGACACAGGTTTTCAGAAAATAAGCACAACTACATTTACTGGTGTTCCATTACCTTACCAGGGGGAACTAGTATATAGATCTTCAGTCTGTTCTCCTCACTAACAATTAGGAAAACCTTTTCCAGAAAACTCCTCTTGATCTTTCTTCCCCTCCCCCACACTGTCCCAGAAGGTGATGGTTTACACTATGAAGAACACAGGTTCAAATCCCTCTTATGACATCATCACTGCCCCACATCCCTCTCCCCTCCCTCCAAACTGGAAGTGGTTTCTCTCCTCAGAGTTGCAGCTGTGGCCAGTATTTTTCTACACCAGGGATTCTGAAAATGTGACCCCTGAGCCAGCAGCATCAGCCTCACCTGGGAAGCTGTTGGAAATGCACATTCTGAGGTCCGACCCCAGACATCCCGCAGAAGGGAGTCTGGGAGTGGGCCTGGCAGTCTGTATGTTTGCAGGCTCTCCAGGTGACAGTTTAAGAGCCACAGTCCTCATAGCATGGACCACTTTGCCTTACAGTAACTTGCGTGTCGTTGAAGAACCCTCAGTGTGTTTCCAGAAAGTTCCTTACCTGTTTAATATTTCTAGCCATATATATCAGTTAGTCAAGCAAACCGGTATTTGCAGTGCTCTGCCCTGTCCTTAAGACTCAGGGTAATCTTTGCAATGTCCAAAGTTGAAAGAATAACTGAAGTAAATTGACATAAGAGGAGAATGATGACTCAGGCTAGTGAGGCCAGTTCAGCACTTCTCAATCCTGTCCCCCATGCCCTTCGTCCAATCAAAGTTTAGGGCAAGAAAAACCAAATAGATCCAAGGATATTGAAAGGAACAAATATTGCCCTTGGGTCATATGTATTGATCAGCAAAGTTTCACTTTAACCTCCTGTGCAGAATTTCTGATGAGGTTGAATCTGTATTCAGAAGTTAAATTTATGTGGATCACACCACAGGAACCTCTTACTTGTCACAGTTCTCCCACAGGTCATCCCTCCCCATCAGTCAAAAAGCTCACAGCATTTCTTTATGGAAACTCCTAGTCTTGTTTTCCATAGCCTCCCTATGCCTGCATTCTGAAGGTTTCATCAGAATGTGTCAGGTCAAACAAAATTTTTCATCCACAGAATTATTTCATGTGGAGTTTCGACTGAAGACAGAATTTTTTAGAGAGAGAGTCCCTCTGTTCTTAATTGCAAAAATTAACTGTTGCCAAAGAGGCGATTTGCAACTCAGAACTACCTCTGAGCAGTACACATGTTTTGCATTCATGATACTGGCCCCTGATTATATGCCAGTTGTTTTTGTAACTAATTGCATGAGGGTAGACAATTCATTTCTATGTGTTGTAAGAGAACACTCTCAAAGGGGTAGTTGAGTGTAGTAATAATGCCAACCGGAAATTCTTTTCAAGCCTTTTTAGACTAATTAGACAAACTAACAAGGTAAGGCCTCATGTAAGTTATTTCCTTGCTAGTGGGTTTCATAAAACATACACAAGTGGGTATAATCTAAAATTAAAATGTTCTTCAATCCCTTTTGCACTGATTGTTATTTTCTGGGAAATGAAGAACATGTTGAGAATTTGGGGAAAACACTTGGGACTAGGAAATCCCCTCTGTGTTTTCTAAAAAAAGGGATATGTTTATTCAGAAGGAAACAGAGCCACATCCACAGACACACGGGCTTGCTGGCACACACATGTCCACAAATGTGTGCACACAAGTGTGTACACACACACACACACACACACACTTCACCACTTCACTTCCCCTCTACCTAGCTCCTCATCTCCTTGCCTTGCAATACAAGGCAACACCAAGGACCAGTCTTGATTTCTTGAGGGGGTTGGAGTTTTGCATGTTTGAGCCTAGTTTCCTCCTCTAGCTGTTTGACACACAGTTTGCTGGTAAGCAGTGAATTGCTGTTTATTCTCACTAATGCCTTGGCCAGCCTTCCTTTAGGACCAACTAATTCCCATGGAGAGAAGTATAATGACACATATAAAAACAAGGAAAGTAACATCTCACAATGTTGCCTTTCATTTAGATGGATTCAGTTGTATCCTACAAATATTTGTCGGGTGTCAGGGTCACCCAGGCTTGGGAAGTCATGGTGCTTCTAGCTTGGCAGAAGTGAGAGGGATGGTCAATCACAGAACGAAACGAGGGAAGCTCTCATAGGAAATGAGCTACCCTGGGGTCTTTGAGATCATACAACACAGTCAATAAAGGGCATGAGAGGTAGTGGGTGAGTTGGCAGTTAAGGGGGCAGAACTGAAAGGGCATCTTCAGCCACAGGAGTTGAAGCAGGTAAAGTCCAAGTAGTTCTCACCCTTACCTGAACATCAGACTTACCTGGGAAGGTTTAAGGGACCTGCTGGTGCCTCCCTGCCTAGTGTCCAGACTCCTTTACTGCCATAATGCAGCTGACAGATGATCCTTTCTATTCAAGGAGGTTCATATATGTTGTCCACTTTGGTTTCAGCTGCCTCCTCTTTCATACCTCCCCTGTATGTTCCCCAAATGACCAATATTGACCCATAGGCAGGGACATCTTTACATTACAGGAAGCAGGAAGACATTACAGAAGATGAGACCTTCCACTTTCAAAGACCTTAAAGAATTTAAGGGTCAAAATTGTTCAGGGGGAAATACTGAGGGAGCAGAAACCTAGCTGAAGACAAAGCATAAGCACCCAGCAACCTCCCCCCCCTACCCCACCCCACCTGGGTGGGATATATGTGACATTCTTTCAGGAAGATCCCAGCCATCTTAATGTTAATGCCTTGCTAGAGGGAAAAACAACCTTAACTTGACAATGGCAAGGCCACTGGTAATCTGTAGGTCCTCTTTAGCATATGAAAGTTCTTTTGAAAACCTCCCTTTTCCTTATCTCCCCCAACCCCATAGTATATAATCAGCCACCCCTCGCAACCCTGGTGCAGCAGCTCTTTCTGCCCACGGGACCTGTCCCCATGCTTTAATAAACCACCATTTTGCACCAAAAAAAAAAAGAATACTGCTGGCTGGGCCGCATCTCAGAGATTCTACTCCAGTTCTGGTCTAGAGTGGAGCCTAGGTGTTAGAAATCTTGAAGACTCCAGGGAGTTAAAATATTCAGCCAAGATTAAGAAGCATTGCACTTGATCCTCTGAATGCTGTGCTTCAGATAACATTTTCAGAAAGTGTCAGAGGATAAAAGCTCCACCAAACTTGGATATAATGATAGAAGAGCAACAGACCCATGTGGAAATTTTGGGTTATTTCCAATTCCTCAACAGTGTCTGAGCAAACAAAAAGTAAACGCTGGGACAGCATTTCTCAAAGTGTTTTTCTGGGCCCCTTCTGCATCAGAAAGATGTGCAGTGGTTGCAAAAATGCAGATTCTTGAATCACAAAGGCTCTGAATAGTCAAAGCAATCTTGAAAAACTAAAGCAAAGCTGGAGGCACCACAGTTCCGGACTTCAAGCTATATTGGAGTCATCAAGACAGTATGGTACCGGTACAAAAACAGACACATAGATCAATGGAACAGAATAAACCCAGAAATGGACCCTTAACTCAATGGTCAACTAATCTTTGACAAAGCAGGAAAGAATATACAATGGGAAAATGACAGTGTCTTCAACAAATGGTGCTGGGAAAACTGGACAGCAACATGTGGAAGAATGAAACTGGACCACTTCCTTACACCATACACAAAAATAAATTCAAAATGGATGAAAGACCTAAATGAGAGAGGAAACTATCAAAATCCTAGAGACCACAAACAATAACCTCTTTGACATTGGCTGTAGCAACTTCTTACTAGATACATCTCCTGAGGCAAGGGGAACAAAACTAAAAATAAACTATTGTGACTTCATCAAGATAAAAAGCTTCTGCACAGTGAAGAAAACAATCAACAAGACTAAAAGGCAACCTTTGGGATGAGAGAAGATATTTGCAAATGACATATCTGATAAAGGGTTAGTATGCAACATATATAAAGAACTTATACAACTCAACACCCAAAAAACAAATAACCCAGTTAAAAATGGGCAGAAGATATGAATAGACATTTTTTCAAAGAAGATATCCGGATGGCTAACAAAACGTGAAAACATGTTCAACATCACTCATCATCAGG